CGTTCCGTAAGCGCACAGAAACCCACTTAATAGGAAAAACGCCTCAACCCATAGGCCGGCGTTTGTCACGATTTGTAGCATAAAATTGTTTTGTCCCTCAAGTATTGATAGGAGGTTTGCTACATAAGGTTAATCAAGTTTATTAGCCTGGATATTTTCGATTTTCTAAATTTTATTTACCACTCGGTAGTTGTGCCTCAGTATAGATATGGTATATAATTATAAATAGTAGACTAATTAGTCGGAAGCCATGAAAGCACCCGATGGTTTCCTTTTCATTACCGGTGCTCAATAGTCTTTCCGTATTTGTATACAAAGAGAATGATTGTAATGACTGAACCAGTTTTGGTGATATATCTGAGAGATTACGAAAATATTTGTCAACACTTAGTTCAACAAGTTTGTTTATTAATGTATTATTACTAGATTTGACGCAAATACTTGTGAATTCAGTGAAAGTGCCAAAGAATATAAGCAATAATATTGTGATAAATCCAGAACTAGTGGAATATAAAAAGATTTTATTTTAAAATTTTAAAATCAAATATAATGTTTACTAAGTTTGTAAATAACTCACAGAATGAGTGTGTGATACCATTGTATGGGATTGTCATTAGAATCGGTGCAATCACTGACTGACACATTGATTCCGGTATTCAACGAAACTATTCAATTGAAAATGTATTTTTAAAAATAATTTTTTCAAATGTAAATAAAATAAAAACTAAAAAATTTCTGCGAATTCTGTTGATATAGAAATTTTAGTATAATACTTACAATACTCTCGAAAAGTAAATATTGGGTTAAATTTACTGAAAGTGCCATAAATAAATTTTATAGTTTTATGAAATTTCACATGAAAAAATACTTGAAATTGAAAAATTATTTGCTATAACATTATTTCATATCATATTTAAGTCAATAATAATTATCAACTAAATTCCTGTTAATCAAGCATCATTTTTAACTAATATAATATGTTTTTCATAAACGGCTTTTAATGTTTTAAAATTAAATTATTATATAAATATATACGATTTATAATTGATTTAAAATTATGTCTAATAATAATTACATGTCTTAAGAATATTATTGAGATCTTCACGACTACAGGCAGTCGGCAGACAAATACCAATAGTGGGGGTTAAGTGTAAGCTCTCGATATCCAATGCCTATTAAATGTATAGAAAATGACTTTATAAGTGGATGAATATATTTTAATTAGATAATTTAATTACATTAACAAAAGGCTAAGATTTATACTGTATGTTGTATTTTTCTATAAATTTAAACTGGATCAATTTACTTGATTTTTGGATGATCGTCGGCCAACCACCGCTTCCATGGGTAGGTTTAGCGTACAATATTGACCGGTAATGCCATGTATTTTTTGGTCCCCTTCTAATGTGACCTTTACATCGAGACATTCATCAAAGTCTCCCATAAACTGGTAGTTCCCTTTGGCCAGACCTGCACCCACTACACCACTCGCATCAATCACTAGTCCATACAAATGGGGTAACAATTCATTAGAGTTATTGTGTTTCACATTATAATAAAAATTCAATTCTATTGTATTAATATATATTTTTAATATTGTGATGAAATTTAATATTATTGTATATTTTAGTGTATAATTAATTTGAAATTAAATCAACCTTTTTGTGACATTTTTGATGTGAAAAATTGAAACCATTTTTCATAAATGAATAATAAATTGTGTGTCAGTTTTCTCGTATTAATTAGATGTATTTTTAATACATTAATGATATTGAAAATGTGAAATAATAGTATACAAACATTTTGTTCGTATTTACTGAAAAGTGGGTTAAATATAAGATAATATTTACAATACTATATATTACATTACTGTTTTATCATTTATTTATTTAATATATCATTTACTGTAAATAAAATGCTAAAAACCACTTTCTATTTCTGTAATCAATAAATAAAACCCAGAGTAAATAAATATATAACTATTTATTAAAAAAATTCCTAAAATATATTTAAATTCTGGTATAAGAATATAGCAATTATTATTTGAATAGACAAAACCCTCATTTGTATTCAAGAATATTCTAGTATGCATACTTTGAATAAACATAAAAAGTTTTCAAATAAGTACCAGAATGAATTCCAAAGGATTTTCAAGAATTTATTAATACTTTTAGTATACTTTTAGTAAATAAAAACTAATAGGACTTACATTTGAGAGCCCAGTCCTCGTTTTCATGAGCGCTCACATAGTTTGCAACGGTTTTACACTCGAGACTAATGTCTGATTCATTAAAATACATAAAGAATTGTCGCGCGAAGAAGTGGTTGGCATATATGGGACTCAATGGTTCACAACTAATAAACTCAAAGTAAAACAAACTATAAATTAGAGCAACTTTTGCAAGAACTTTCAAAAACATAATCGATGTTAACGTTGAGAACAGGTATGTGTTTAGGAGAGTATAGCAAAAAAGAGGAAAACCCCTTTATGTGACTGTTTTCTACAAATAAAATATCATTTAATTGAATGATAGTGTAATACTAACCCGTTTTTATATGTATGACATAAACAATCCCTTCATTCTGTAGCTGAAGCTGATTATACAGTAAAGTGAAAGCCATTGATTAGATAACAAATAAATAGATATTTTATAATATGTTTTTACACACGTTATTCTGTATTGAATTTTATTGCAGTACTTCTGCAATATTCTTATAACTGGTTGATAGCAATAGGGTTGCCACCAGTGTATGTGAACAAAATATTACCTTGGTTTTTCTGATTAGTTGTATTGAATAAATATACGGTAATTTTTTGATTATTTAAAAAATATTGAATTTTGTAGTTTTATTTTATTGAACATTTGTTCATTTTAATTATGTACAAATTATAATAATATGAATATATTTATTTTTTATAAAGTTTCAGATATAAATAAGTTGTTATATAATCTTGGTGCTAATAAGACAATTGTATGACTAACTTATATGATAAGTTTAGTTAGGGTCAATTAGCTATTTGCTTGTCAATTACTAGCATAGTCCTCATAGTCCTAAAATATTTCAATATGTATCCTGATAGAATATAAATATTTTTATTAGTAAAATCAAAATTGATTTTAATTGTAAAAATTTGTCCCGATTTTCACGATAAAAGCAAGTCAAAAATGTTCATAAAGTGAACCTGAACTTCATTAACATTTTACTGTTAAAATCAAATGATTAGACAAATAGCATAACACTTCACATACTATACACAGCTTTTCATAAAAAAATATATGACTTCATTGAAGACATGCTATGATCTGTGTATGAATTGTGCAAACATTACATTATATCCTATTCTACCTACAAATACCGTCTCAATGAACCCCATTATTATCTGTCATTCATGTAGTTTTCAATGAAGTCATTTATCCTACTTTTGCTTTTTGCTATGAATTGAAAGTCAATTGCATTTCAAATAATAAGACTATCATTTTTGTTATAAAGATATTTTTTGCACTAATATTGGTGCTTTATGTCCTTTGAAATTAAATCACGTATTCATTAGTTTATTGACCGACAATTGTCTGTAATTATAGGTACAGTTATTGCAAAATAAAGTTGTTTTTAAAGTAAAATCAGAGAATTATTTCTATAATTAAATGCATTTATTTTACTGTAATTTAAACAATTTTTGGCCTAAATTTTATAAATTAATAACTGTTAAATTATAAAATAGTGTATTAATTAGATATAAAAAATTTTAATTTTTGGATAAATATGTTTAGCAAAATTATTATTGAAATTTAATAAACACAATAATTCCAACAATATTAGCCAGTTCATCTGTTAACAGGTATTTTCTAAACTTAATTTATACTTTTATTAACTCATGTTTTAAATTGTTAAACACAAAGTTGATAAAGATTTTTAATTTTTTGCAATTCATTCAATAAGTAGTTTTTGAGAACAATTTTCATAAATTATTGTAATATTAATTTTAATATAATTATAAATTATAAGTATTTTTTATCTAAAGAATTTAATTATGAATCTATTTTTGTTTCGTAATACAACAATAAATATAATTAAATATATTATTTTAGTCATTTCAATATAAAATTCTGTTTATTGTATCCATTTAAAAACTTTCCATACACACCAGAAATTAACACAAAGATAACTCAAATGTTTGACAACTACAGTATTTATAAAAATATAATTAATAATAGAAACATTTAATTTTAATATTAATTTACATAAAAAATTTGATATGTCTGTGAAATATTAATTAATATTGAAATATAATTATCAAATTGTTTATACATATACATACTATCATACATAAGAAACAAATCATTAACCCTGACAAGTGAGAACATTCTCAGATGTTATTTAAACAAATTTTAATTAATAAAAAGAATTATTATTTGTGTCTGAATTCACCAATTATTCTGTAATTCATGACATAGTTTAGTACTTTTCAAGAATTAATACTATGAACGACAATGAACTCAATGGATAGATAAATGCCTCAAACAAACAAATTCAATGCCAACCATCATTTCAATGTTAGTTTGCTTTTATTTTTCTCGATTCCTTATCCGTAAAAACTGATTACTGATATTGAATTCGCTATTGAATAGACTGATTAGTTAAAACTGAACTATCAATTAAAGTATAGAAATATTCTTTAACTTTCATATATATATACTGTATATATTGGCACTCATTTATACACTATATTATTGCAAAAGTCCTCAATGTCTAAATACTTGATTCAAAGTTATATTAATACTGTACTATTGATTTAATTGTATGACTTTGTATGTATACAATAAATGGATTCAATATATTTTTAA